GATTTTCGCTCTAAGAGCAGTGTATGTTAGTGTGACTCCTGCTGTGGCATGTAGGTACCACCTGCAGTTCCCTTTGAACATCTTTAAAAACCTTTCTAATGTCCTTATATGTTTTTAAAGGCTGTGTGAGTAAATTACTAGTTCAAAGCCTTTTCTATATTAAGGGGTGACTTGTGGGCAGTAATTTATCATGGTCCTTTCTCCTTCAGGTTGACAACTAACTGAAAAAAATATTCCTAAGGGCCGGACAGAGATCAAAACATTAGTTTTAATTTGGTAAACCTGGATTTGAGAAAGCAGCTTGGACTAAGTGGGCTCCCAGCTCTCCCCAACCATTCTCAGCTAAGCAGCCGGGCTTCCGGGGCTTCCAACCCCCTCCGCTCCTGCAGGGACAGGGCCCGAGCAGAGGGAGAGGCCACCTGCCATCAGCAGGCAGACTGGGCCTGCCCACCAGAGAATGAACGGAAACACGTATAACGGTCATTTACTCCAATTTGTTGGTGACCTAAGTTATTCTGACCTCTCTGGGGAAGCAAGAGAGGTCAAAAGTGTTCACCTTGTCTCCCTGGGCTCATCCCCCTGTGGGTGGAGTAGAATTCCTCACCCCTCTGTGAAAGGAAGGTGCTCTGGTAGCTAGTGGATAAGGCATTTGGCTGCTAACCAGAAGGTCAGAGGTTCAAACCCACCAGCTGCTCTGTGGAAGGAACATAGGCTGATCTACTTCTGGGAAGATTTACAACCCTGGAAACCTAACAGGGCTGTAAATCAACTGGATGGCAGTGAGTTTATTTATTTATTTATTTTTGATTCCTGTGAAAGGCAGTGGGGCAACAAGACTCCCGCCTCAAATACAATCCTTTTGATTCCTTTTAAAAATCAAGAGACAATAATGAGGGACTCCTTGCTGGAGGTGTGACATCTGGGACTTCCTTTATTTTTCCTCTTTGTAATGGATTTTTTTCAATACAAAAGTAATACATGCTTACAGTTAAAAAAAATGTACAAAGTAAAAGTGTTCTCAATTCTCTTTTTAATCCTGTCCAGGCCCTCTCTTCAGAGAGGAAAGTTTGGTTTACACCCCTGGATCCTTTTCTATTCATTTGTATACACACACGTTCAAAAACACATACTCACAAAAATACTGTATTTCTTAAAAAAGTAAAGCAATCATACTATTCATTTTGTTCAGCAGGTTTCCTTTATACAGATGCTGTGTCACAGACATGTTTCTACAGTTATGCCTCCTGATCACCCTCAACACTCAACTGTGTGGCTGCTTTATGATATATTTAACTAGTTCTTAACCATGTTTAAGTTGTTCCCATTTATTGTGCTATGATAAACAATGCTGTGGTGAACAATTGCTGTGCAAAGACATCCCTGCAAAATTGTTCAGTTATTTTTGAAGGATCAAATTCTAGTGTAATATTGAGTCAAATTATACCTATATTTAAGTTTTGATCGGTGTTCTCAAACAGCCTCTAAAACATTGTGTCAGGTTACAGTACCCCCATAGATTCACCAACCTTGAATATTAACAATTTTTAGCCTTTGCCTGACTGATAGGTGAAAATGATATACATTTTAATTTGCATTTAAATTATGACAAATGAGAACATTATCTGTTTCCTCCTATTTCTTCTTCAATCACATTAATAATCTTCACCATTTTCCTTCTGAACACATTTTTAACTTCATCCCCAGAAATTTGACTACTCTGTCTTTTGTACAGTTTTTTAAATGTGGAAACATAGCTCAGTATCGGGTCTGAAATAGTTCCTTTACAGACAATTTTTTCAGAAGACTTTATTTATTTGTCTATTAAATTTAGAAGATGGGGAAAAAGACATTATTTTGCATCTGTTGTTATAGATTTTGACAGTGATCACAATGAATACCCTCTGAAAGAAAGCAGAAAAACAAACATCCATTCCCCAAAACTGATGGGGGTCTGACCATCATTTCCAATTCTCATCTTGTTGCTTAGAAAAGTTAGTGCCACACTGTATAACCCTAAATTTAAAATTTGGCTTTGTGGCTCTATCAGCTTTCACGTTATATTACAAAAAGTATACCTGAAAATCTTTGAAATGATGTAAACAGAGCTTAACTAAGTCGATTTCAGACTAGTTATTCTTCTCTTACAGTGCCTTTATCTCTGAAGCAGGAAAAAAGCCCAAGATGTTGAATCAAACTACTTTAGATAAGAAACGACTTACGCTCTGTTGGCAGGAGCTGGTATGTGAAAATCTATTTATACTCTGAACAGAATTAGAACATGTGCTTGAAATTGACTCAATAACACACACCAGTCTTTCTTTAGCATCTCTGACTGACCTTCCCTGTCTCTGTCATGTCCATCCATTATCTATCATCTACAGAGTTCTAGTGTCTTCTCATTGTCCTACAGCCCTTGGCCTAAAACAAGACCACAATTTCAACAACCACCAGTATCTTTGTAGTGACCCAGCTCCATCTCCTCACCTGCAGACCTTTTTCCAACCTCCTTGGAAACACCTCACCTGCTCATTTCACAGCTTCTCCAACTTGATATATCCTACTGGACCCATCATCTTCTCACCTGTGTTGCCAATACCAGCCATACTTGCTGCTCCAGACAGAAGCTTAAGAATCTGTTTTGAATTCTTCTTATCCATCATCAGCCAGCTGGACCTGCCAGGTCCTGTCGATTCTGCTCCTTAAAGATTCTGGAATTCATTCTACTTCTTCATGCCCAGAATTGCTGTCTAAACGTAATTCCTTAGCATGTCTGGCCTAGATGATTGCAGCAGCCTATTCCAATCTTTCACACCCAATCAGCTTGGTTTTTCTAAAGCACAAATCTGATCAGCTCATTTATTGCTTAAATCTTTGGAGTCATAGTTCAGTGAATTAAACTGCTATTATTATGGTTGTCATTGTTATTGTTAAGTATCAGAAAGCCTGAATTTGGGTCTGGGCTAATAAAGTGGTATGACATTGCCAAACTCTGACTTTTCTGGGCCTCAGTTTCTCATATGTCAATTAAAGGTAAGATGAGATTCATTGCCTGTGAAATTTCTATGAAATGAGCAGTGTATGCCCAGTGGCAGAGCCTGAAACAGCCCGTGTGAGTGGTCAGGATGGTGCTTACAACTCAGGCAGGAGTAGGCAGCATAGCACAGTATTTGTTGTCCAGAGTTTTAGAAAGATCTCCATTGACTCCTCTCTTGTTTTAGGAAGCAATGACCAAGGAGGCCAAAGAGATTGTTCAGCAACAGCAGCAGCAGAAGAAGAAGTTCTCTCTTGATGAAATGATTGGCAAAGCTCAGAACTTTGTGGAAAAGATCCGCTTTCTTGTTGATGAGGTAATCAATCCTGAAAGCAAGCCTCACTCGGAATGTTAGTGCCAATGCCTCCCTAGAGACGTCTGGAGGTTTGGTATGGATGGAAGGGGGACACTGTCTATTCCCAAGCCCTGCTGAGCTGAGCAGGCACGATTAGTCCAGGGATGAGATTTTTAAATTAAGTCCAACAGGTAGCTTTACTGATTTCTCACGAAGCATGATATTCAGCAGAAATAAAAAACATGTTCCCCGGTGGATTCCAGAAAAGTCCAAATAACCCTGCACCTTTGTACACGTTCAACTGTAAGAAGGTTTAAATTCACATTCAGTAAAGGTCAAAACAACTTTTCCTTTTAAAGTTAATTGCCTTCTGGTGACCACTAAGATGGTCTAGAAAAGGTCTTTGTGTTTGCATCATCGGGTACAGGTATGCCTTCCTGAAGCCTGAGGATGGGTAGACACTTCTTAAATTTGTTTTTTTGTGGAGAGGTTTCAGGGAGAGGGACAGATCTATGGCTTCTTATTCTTGGAATTTGCATTCCTTGTCACATTATCAATCATTCCCTGGAGGTATGAGCCATGAGCCAGACGGGCGATTAATGCAGGAATTTTAATACTCCCTCAGAAGGTTCAAACCAGACACTGAAGCTTCAGGTCTATGACTGACAGACTCTGTGGCAGGCAAACCTCCAGATCAGTGTCTGTGGTTCCATAGCAAGACAAAAGGGGTGACCCTCTTTGGGTGCCAATTAGACCCTAATGTCACAGGGTTAGAAGGAGCATCTGCTTCCAGGCCAGGAAAGCTAGAGCCTAGTTTCTGACACTGTACCTCCTTTTTGCTTTGATAGTTATATTGGTTCAGAAATGTGCATTTCAAACACGTACGACGTAATGGGCCACTTGGCAAGGAATTCTGCAATTTCTACCTTGATTAGCTTACTTTAAAGTCTCATTTTTCTGTGCAATTTAGTCTAGTTTCTTCTGAATAACCACCTGAATTGGAGCCAAACTACTTGGCAAGCATATTTTAGGGATCAAGTCTCTTGTAGAATTGTTTTCCATATCCTTAAGTGCAAATAGAAAGACATTCATGAATTTTCATTTTTGTTCTTTTATTTGAAAGTTCTAGAAATGTTACCTGGCTCTGAAGATCTGATGAAGTACAATTATTCAGGTTAAGTCATTAATTTGAAAATTAAAAAAAAAAAAGAAAGTTGTCAAAAATAAAATAGAAATGTTTGTTCTGCAGATGGAGAAAAGTAGACTATCAATATGTCAAATCACGTGTCCAACTTGCTTATTGTCAAAGCATAACAAATAATTTGGCAGGTGAGATTTACACATCTTGCTGGTTCATGACCAAAAGCTTCCTCTTTTCCAGGAAGCTACACTTAACTTGCTTGGTCACACAGGTGTTTTAAGTCACAGATTTGTTCTGCAGGAGAAGTGGAACTGGTTTAGGCTAGGAGAACTCTGGCCATGTGCTGTTGAATACCTGTCACATTCCGTTCTCGGTCCCACAGCCGCAGCACACCATCCCTGATGTCTTCATTTGGATGCTGAGCAACAACAAGAGAGTGGCATATGCCCGCATCGCCTCCAAAGACCTGCTCTATTCTCCCTTCAGGGAGCAAATGGGCAAACACTGTGGGAAGATCAAAACTCATTTCCTCAAAGTAAGTCTGCACTAGTTTTCACTATGGCGTCTCTGGGTGGTACAAATGGTTAATGTGCTCAGCTGCAAATCAAAAGGTTGGAGTTTTGAGTCCACTCAGAGATTTCAGAAGGAAGGCCTGGCAATAGACTTCCAAAACATCAGCCATTGAAAACTCAGTGGGGCACATTTCTACTCAGACACGCATGAGGTCAGCGTGACTCAGAAGGCTGGTGGTTCAAACCCACCAGCCACTCCTCAGACGGAAGGTTGGGCAATCTACTTCCGTAGTGATACTGCCTCGGAAACCCAAGGAGGGGTCGCTATGAGTCGGGGCCAACTCGACGGCAAATAACAACAACATAACATGACTTTGGGTAAGTTACTGCCATCTCTGTGCCTCTCATGCTTTATCTGTTAAGTGGAGATCGTTGTGAGGATTAAGTGGATAAATGCATATCAAGCACAGAGTTGTACATCACCCAGAGTAACCACTCAATAAATGCTGGAGTCGGACCTGACTCATAACGACCCCTCCTTGGGTTTCCGAGGTGGTATCACTACGGAAGTAGATTGCCCAACCTTCCTTCCGAGGAGTGGCTGGTGGGTTTGAACTGCCAGCCTTCTGGTTAGCAGTCAAGTGCCTTAGGCACTATGCTACCAGAGTTCCCAGATATAGATATAGATATAGATATCTCTAAATTCCCAGGGGTCATTTTTGTAATGGGGGCCCCTCTTCATATCTGTTGAGTTGTTTTGGGCTCTGTATATCATTTTTGGTTAGATGTCTAAAATATTTTTAAGCCCCTCCTGTAAAAGTGAAAGGAAAAAGAAAATCTCACCCAAGTCATTCACCCACAACTGTCAGAATCTTTCTTCAACTTTCTCCAGCCACGGAGCACTAGGGTGGCAAGAAAAATCTGTCTTAAAAAATAGCAAAATTCTCAGAAGGCTCTGTGCTAAAAATACTAGCGAATTGGTAGAATGTTACGCCCCTAAATATTTTGATGTCTCCTGCCTCTATGTAAAATTAGAGCGATGAACAGTTGTCAAGCGAATCCAGAGGGTAGGCACAGCTGAGAACACAGAATGTGCCCTGTGGCATTCATCATCTGCCTATTACCCTTTATCAGGATGCCTGTAAGCCTGGAATTACTTCTTTATCTGTATTTCCCTTTTGCCACTGGGATTGCTTTGGGCGATAGCTTTCTAAATCTTATTGAATTCGGTTGTGTTGACATGATGAAACATCTTGATAAGCTGAGCCAGCAAAACTCATTTCATTCCTGTGTTGTCACCTCTGCTTCGAACTCTCACCCACCTGCCCTCTTTAGCCCTCTTTCTCCTCTCTGAATGGGTAAGTCTGAGAACAAGGACTAGACCAGGGGGACTTTAAAGGATTCCCACGCCTGCCACTCCCTCGGGCTTCTGAGCTGGGAATTAGGAAGCAGAGTAGGGCAAGGCATAGGAAGTAAAGCTCGTTTCTCAAAGTATATTCCATGAATCACCTGTCCTGTGAGGGGCTTCAGTAAACATTCCACGCTCCGACACATGTAGGAGCCTTGGAGTTGGATTATACCCATTAACCAGTCTTCTAACGCTCAGAGAAATCCTGCAGTCAGGAAACACCTTGGAGTTTTTAAACTCACACCTCCCAAGCTTATTTATCTAGAAGAGCTTTTTACAAGCTTTAGGAAACTATTGTTCCTAGAGGCCTAGTTTGGAGAATATTAATGAGAAGTTTTACAAAGAAGGAACCAGATGACTCACCTGAAGCCACACGGCTCAGTGATGGAAAATTTGTAATTGCAACCAGGATTTCAGGGGACCTGGTTCCATGATCTTTTTATTTTTCCTAATTTAAATTTATTTATAGTGCTACTTAAAACATCAGAGCAGAGTTTTCAAACTCAGCCCAATTTCCACCATCCAAAAACCAATGTTATCCTCTTCCGAGCTCATCCCACTATACCCCTATTGGCAAGAAGGGTGGAAAAGGACTTTTGTCATCAAAAGGAGAACTTTCCTGTGGATGGAGCCAGATGCACTTGGAGCCACAGGGTGGTTCCTAACCTTCCTTTTTCTTCCCCTCTAGTCAACTCTCTGTGCTGAGTCCACCTAGATGAGAGAGCCCGTTTCACTCTCATCTCCAGCCCTAGTCTCTCTACTGCTCCACACTCCTGAGTCCTATCTCTTCTTCTCCTGGCCTCTAGCTGTCCATCAGCTTTCCCCAGTGTGCAGTGGAAAGTGGGGGCTGAAAGACATCTTTTTGATCCTGCTATAGAGTGAAACATCTACAAGACAAACAAGCCTTTCTCTTACTGATGTTGACTGACCAACTCCAACACATTTTACGTGAATTGTCATTTCTCTCCTCTCTCTGACTTGCCAAAATTACCTCTTCCTTTGAAGCCAGTTGGCATGGACTAAGACCACTGCGGGAGATGACTTGGGAGGTGGGAGAGGCTAAGACTTTAGCATTATGCTCCATGTGATTTTTATCCATTGGGGGTCAATCACTTCTGCATTCTTTCAATATTTTTCTCTGGTGGTGTGTTGGATTGGGTTCTCTAGAGAAACACAAAAACCAGCAAAGTATATATATATATATATTTATAGAGAGAGAAAGAGAGAGAGAGAGAAATTTATCTTAGATAAATGGCTCACAAGCGTGTAGAAGCTGACAAGTTCAAGCTGAAAAGTTCATCTCTGGAGGGGGATGGGGCCCAGGGCCGTCTGGCTTTTGCACGCACGGCAGAGGAGTTCAAGTCACAAAGTTCGTCTCTGGAGAGAGATGGGGCCCGGAGTCGTCTGGTTCCCGTAAGCACAACAGAGCCGAGAGAATCAAGCTGACACGCAGTGTGCTGGTCGCTGTTCCCAACAAAGAATGAATCCGAAAACCTCCAGGGCGAGCAGCGAGCTGCTCGCTCCAGGAAGTATATAGTCCGGAATGCCGTTCTTCCAGTTTGTCCCTGGGATAGCATTGCAGGTAGGCCACACCCCTGGGGAAACTCCCCCTAGGCCGACCGGCCGCTTAGAACGCAGTCATGTGATCCATCATGGGAACCACCACTCACAACTGGAGTCCAGCCAAGTTGACACATCTTCAACTATCACAGGTGGTTTTTCCCCTTAACTCACTGTGCTATTCTAAACAGGAGAGAACTTGCAGTGGTTGGTCAGGCTTCAAAGGCACATGAGAAAGAAAGGAGAGTGGGGAAGGGGAGAAGGTAGGAGACACATATCAAGTTGGAAGTGCATGTGAAATTAAAAATGGGGTGTCCTTTGAAAGCCCTTAGGAAGGTGCTCAATAATGTTGGGTGAATTCCAACTTGAATACATAGGTGAGAGACTCTACATTGCCTGTTGTTGTTATGTGTTGTCAAGTTGGACCTGACTTATAGCGACCCCTCTTTGGGTTTCTGAGGAGATATCACTATGAAAATAGAATGCCCAACCTTCCTTCCGAGGTGTGGCTGGTGGGTTTGAACCACCAGACTTCTGGTTAGCAGTCAAGTGCCTTAAGCTCTACACTACCAGAGCTCCCCACCTACATTGCCTAGTAAGCAATTTTAAATTTGTGTATTAAAAAAAAAATAGAAGCTTTACACTTGAACATTGCAGCTGTGGTTCTTATGTCAAACTTTCACAAGATGTTAACGGAGTTTTGAATCTAAACATAAGTTCACAAACACACACACACATGTTGTTTTCATAGCAGTAGAAATGGATAACACTTCTGTTGTTGTATTGCTTTAAGGAGTAAAAAACATCAGACTTCTTTAAGGGAATGTCAGATAGTAAGTTAACCTTTTGGGCCATGGAACACATATTGCCAACCAACATTTTCAGGCTCACAGTTTTTTTTTTTTTTTTTCCAGTTTTCTTGAGAAGCTGTCATCCCAGTTACAGTATATATTGCCACCTGGTGAGGACCTGTATCACTGTGTGAATCTGAGAAAATGGGCCTCACATCCATCCTACCACCAAAGTCCACTTGGAACATATGTGTCTCACATAATTGTATCAAATTCCTTATTATCCCTCTTTCTTTCTCTCTCTCTTTAATTTCAGTATGCCTTCAATTACTGAAGGAGCTCTGGTGGTGTAGTGGTTAAAGCATTCGGCTGCTAACCACAAGGTCAGCAGTTTGAACCCACCAGCTGCTCTACAGGAAAAAGATAAAACCATCTGCTCCCATAAAGAATTACAGCATTGGAAACGCTATAGCGCAGCTTGACTCTGTCCTAGAGGGTCATTATAGGTTGGAGTCAACTCGATGGCAGTAGATTTGGCTTGGTTTGGTTTCCCCATTACTGAAAACACATGGCATCAATACAAAAAATTCAAAACAGAAAATAATTCAGTCACAAAAGGGGTAAGAGTCTTGTTGCTTAAATACTTAAAACTGTAGACTGTAGACCACAGGATCAGCATCAACAGGGAGAAGTACAGATTCCCAAACTCTACCCCAGACCTGCTGACATTTTAGCCAGATGCCCAGGCAAGTCATATGCACCAATGTCTGTGTAAGGAGCACCGGTGAGGAGTTTGGTCTCTGGAGCCAGGTAGAACTGGGTTTGAGTCTTGGCTCTATTCCTGTCTTGCTCTGTGATATTGTACAAATGTCTTAACTTCTCTGAACCTGCTTCCTCATCTTTAAAAGGCACATAGTAAAAAATATACTTTATAGAATGATTGTGAGCATTAATGATAACCTATGATTTCTGGAGCTCTGGTAGCATAGTGCCTAAGGCACTTGACTGCTAACCAGAAGGCTGGCGGTTCAAACTCGCCAGCCTCGGAAGGAAGGTTAGGCAATCTACTTCCATAGTGATACAGCCTCGGAACCCAAGGAGGGGTCGCTGTGAGTCGGGGCTGACTTGACGGCACCTAACAACAACATGACCTTTTACTATTATGCAGGAATTAGAACATTTTGTGTGTAAAATTGAACCTTAGGCCAATCCTTGGAACAATGTAAGTGCTCAACACATGTTAAATAGTATTATTATTATCAGAAAAAAGAAATAAAGGACTGTTCATTCAACAACTATTTATCAGATTGGAGATCTCACCAGGAACCAAGAGGAGTAAAAATATCAGACTGCCCTTGTGAATTGATGTCCTAGTGATGTCTACAAATGGCAGAATTATTACTTTGATTAGAACAAAATTCCCCGAGGCTCTCAAAAAATATTTGTTTTATTGACCAAGTGCTTAATACATGTAAGCTGTTATTAGTATTGGAGAAATGATCAATTGAGAATTATCTGTCTTCTTATAATTAAACAATTTGGAGGTTGCAGAGTGGTTACCTTTATCAACCACAAAATGACCTCTCAATAATGATTTGTTATTGAACTGAATAAATAATAGAATCTCTTCCCCAAAGAATACAAATAAAACTCACACTCTTCCAAAAGCGCTCTTCAGTCTCGTCTGTGCCTTTCTCTGCCGCAGCTCCTACGCTCGCTGGTTGCAGTTTCCTCTTTTCTGAGCACTCTCAGCGGGCATGTTCCTGGCACAGCATAAGCACTCACCAAGTATTAGCGCATATTATCACTATTAGTTCCTGTCGCCACGTCTCCACCCATGCACTTCCCTCTTCCTGGGATGTCTTCTCTACCGGGCCAACTCCAAAGTGTTGTTTGAAGGCCAGCTATATGTTTGAGTCTTAACAAAAAGATGGAAATACCTGCTGTTTCTTCTCTTCCTCCTTGGCGTTCTCTCTTGCACTTGGCCTTGCATGTAAGTAACTGTAGGTCGGTCTCTGTCTTAGACTCCTGGTGCTGCTAAAGCAGAAACACTGTGAGGCTTCAAAGAATGTTGTTGTCGTGTGCCGTGGAGTTCGAGTCGGCCCTGACTCATAGCAACCCCTCCTTGGGTTTCTGAGGCGATATCACTACAGAAGTAGATTGCCCAACCTTCCTTCCAAGGAGTGGACCTATTTTCTTGGTTCTGGAAGCTAAAAGTGTGAATTCAGGGCACGGCTCTAGGGAAGTTCTTCCTTTTTGACAGCCTGGGAGTTCCTGTAAATTCCTTGGCATTCCTTGGTGACTGTCCTCCCTGCGTGTACAAGTATCTATGTCTGTGCTGTTCTTTTTATAGCTCAGAAGTCACTTAGGGTCCACTCTACTCTGGTATGATATCAACATAACAAAAGAAAGCCCCTTTCCAACCAGGGCCATATTTACAGGTACAAGGGTTGGGATTTTGACACATATTTGAGGGGACACAATTCAATCCATAACACTTTTCTTGTCTAAACTGAGCTCTTAGTGGGAGGGCTGAGACTGGGTCTTTGTTGTTCTGATGTCCTCCTGGCCCCACTCGCTCAGCAGTGACCTAGTGGCACTAGAAATAGCTGCTGAAATGAGTTGCTAAAATCTACTTAAGAATTAGCCAGAGAGCAAGCTTAGATAGGGGCAAACCAAAAACTAAACCCACTGCCATTGAGTTGATTCCAACTCTTAGCAATCCTGTAGGGCAGAGTAGACCTGCCCCATAGGGTTTCCAAGGCTGTAAATCTTTAAGGAAGCAGATTGCATCTTTGTCCCTGTGAAGCAGCTGGTGGGTTAGAACCATCGACCTTTTGGTTAGCAGTCAAATGCTCTAACCACTACACCACCAGAGCTTCTTCACATACACACACATACATGCATATGCACACACACTCCTCTATACACACACTCATACTCCACATACCAATATACACATAAACATAGAAATTTAAGTACACATAAATATATATACAAATCAGAGCCTATTCAAAGGAGAGAAGGAGTTGAATTTGAAATCTCACTGCATGAAGAAAGGATGGAGGAAGAAGGAGAGGTGTTTAATCTAGAAGAAAGGATGTGAGAAGGACAGGTTGGTTTATTCCTGCACATGAAGGCCTGACATACGGAAGTTCTTCTGAGCAAACCCAAGAGGTAGAACTGTGATGGGCAGTTGGAAGCTCCAGGGAGGGAGATTTTATTTCAGTGCAGGAAAGAGGCAAGCTATGAGGATTCTGATTCTTGAGTCTACATTTGTTCTCATCTCTCCTGGGTCCGAGTCTTGGCTTCGTCACTTAAAGCTGACTGACAACTTTAAATGAGTAGGTGATTCATTTAACGTCTCTGAGGCTGAGTTTCATTATCTATAAAGCTAACATAGTACTAAAAAGCTCTGGTAGCACAGTGGTCAAAGCATTTGGCCGCTAACCGAAAGGTCGGCAGTTCAAACCCATCATTCACTCTGAGGGAAAGAGATGTGGCTATTGGCTTCTGTAAAGATTTACAGCCTTGGAAACCTTGGGGGCAGTTCTACTCTGCCCTAGAGGGTCACTATAGGGTCACTCTGAGTTGGAATTGACTCTATGGCAGTGGGATTTTTGTTTGCTTGTTTTTTAAATCATAGTACCTGGAGTCCCTGGGTAATCCAAATGGTTAACGTACTTGGCCACTAACTGAAAAGTTGGAGGTTCAAGTTCACCCAGAGAGACCTTGGGGAAAAGTCCTGGTGGTCTACTGCTGAAAAATTAACTACTGAAAACCTTATCATGCGCAGTTGTACTCTGACACAAAGGGGGTCAGTATGAGTTGAAGTCAAGTTGAGAGCACCTGGGTTTTATCATAGTGTTGTTAGGTGTCATTGAGTTAGTTCTGACACATGGCAACCCTATTACAACAGAAGGAAACCTGCCAGTCCTGCACCATCCTCACAATTGTTGCCATGCTTGGGCCCATCGTTGCAGCCGCCATGTCAATCCATGTCATTGAGGGTCTTCCCCTTTTTCAGTAACTCTCTGCTTTACCAACCATGATATGCTTCTCCAGGGACTGGGTCCCTTCTGACAACATGACCAAAGTGTAAGAGACAAAATCTGGCCATTCCCTCTTCTACCCCTAGAAGCTTATTCAGGCTGTACTTCCTCCAAGACAGATTTGTTCATTCTTCTAGCAGTCCATAATGAAACACACTGCCATAGAGTCAGATCCGACTCATAGTGACCCCTCCTTGTGTTTCCAAGGCAGTGTCACTATGGGAGTAGATTGACCAGTCTTCCTTCCGAGGAGTGGCTGGTGGATTTGAACTGCTAGCCTTCTGGTTAGCAGTCAGATGCCTTAGGCACTATGCCAGCAATCCATAGTGCATCCAATATTCTTTGTCAACACCACAATTCAAATGCATCCTTTTTTTCTTTTTTTTGTCGTCTTTCGTATTCGTTGTCCAGATTTTGAGTGCATATGAGGCTATTGAAAAGGCCATGGTTTGGGTGAGGTGCACCTTACTCTCCAAAGTGGCTTTTTAGCTGCTTAATACTTTAAAGCGGTCTTTTGCAGCTGACTTACCCAATGCAATATGTCATTTGATTTATTGACTGTTGCTTTCATGGGCATTGATTGTGGATCCTTGACAATTTCAATCTTTTCTCCATTTATCATGATGTTGCTTATACCTATCTATAAAAATGCTAGGGAGCACAGCTCTCCACTGAAACACATGGGCTCACCATGAGTTGGAATTGATGACAAATTTAAAACAATAGCTTTAAGTGCTCTAGTGTGTGGAAGTGCCTGTTGAAGCCAGGTCCAACCAGCTATGGATCTTCCTTTGGAGTTGTGTGTGGCAACTGGGGTCATTGCTCTCACTTTGGTTAAGAGAAGCCCCTGCGAATTCTCCAGACCATGTCCACAGGAGAGACCTCCTCAAAGAGCAAGGCCCAGAATCAGTTCCCACTAACCAGGAAGCCTTTCCTGTAACCTTTCCTCAGCTTCCTGGAAAGCGGCCAGCTGGTTGGTCAGTGCAAGCGAAAGTGGACGTGTACCTGTGGCTGGGCTCCACCAGACACTCCAGCGCCATTTTGGACAACTTGCCAACAGGCTATGAAGCAGAAACACTCTCCAAAGGGTGGCCTGCTGCCAGCCACCCTCCGGCCACACTGCTCTACCAAGGTACGATGTCCACGGGCAAGAGAGCCAGTAGATGTCAGGGTAGAGGAAAGTGTAGCATCAATTGTTGGCACGTGAGTTTAGGATCAATTTCCTTTAATATAGTTTCTAAATTTTCTTCCCTACCTTCCAGCGTCCCGTCTAAAAAGAATAGAATGCACGCTTTTATGTTAATGGAGAGAAAGCAATTGAGTTTCTTTATAGACAGACAATTCAGGCTGAGTTTTCATTTTAAGCAAAAGAGATTTTTTTTTTCTTTTTTTAAGAGCTTGTTTTTACATTCAACATCATGCGTACATTTAGTTTCATTCCC